CTTCAGCCAGTGGGAAGTCATTAGTAACCTACTCATCGCTGTGGTTAGACCTGCAAATGTAGTAAGAAACACGCGTTATCGAAGTAACCGCAGCTTAGAAGACCATAGAATGAAAATGTTTACCAGAACTATCCTAGTCTATGGCGTTCCTGAAACTGAAGCATGTGATGGGCATGAAATAGCGAAGCAGGATAAGGAAGGATAGTGTGGAAACACTCTCCTAGAATGATATGCTAGTGAAATCGGTGTCACAACTACGCACATTACCGAACTACAAAGGATGTGGACCAAGAGTATTGAACGTAGTCCTCCAAACAAAACAAACGGCAGCACGACTACCGAAAAGCTGGCCCATGTTTCTTTGAAGGCTTTTATATGAGTTCCAACTGAAAGCAGCGAGCGATATGCCAAAGAACCAAGCGCGATGGGAACTATAACAGGACAGTGCGGCAGCAGTGTGTCTGATGAGCCCATACAACCTGTCAATGAAGTGAGCGGCCGGAGTCCTTACGCTGTACGTAGAAGGTTGTATATGGGATTGCTTACATAGCCGATGAGTGTGATGCCGAACCAGTTGCTAATTACCCACCGAAAATAATGATTAGTCGCCGGCCACTCACTAGTCGGTGAAATCCCAAGTATGAATTGCACAACCTCCGACACATTGCTGTAATCCGAGAAGCATTCATGCATATACACCAACGCCAAAGGGCTCCTCAGTAAACTTCGAGTACGTCCGACTGCGAATGTTTGGGATCTAATTTCTATTACTGAAACCTGTTTGCACCAAGAAGTTGCTGGGATCAAGCTTGCAGCAATGCAAAGTCACTCATCCGGAACAACAGTCCCAGCAGAGTGGGGGGGCCTTCTCTACCACCGCAGTGACCTGTAATGTGCAATAGTTGATGATCCGGAAACTCATGTTACCGACTCATTCTGATGCCGTCTCAGATTAAGGCACAACGACGATATCTCGTAGCTGTCGGTAACCGTCCCCAACATCCACATTGGAAAAAGATTCCAGCTTGATACGTGCCTTGAACAGGGTAACACGCCTTAGGTATAGCCACATTCTCATCGCTGGTGACTTCAAGGTACACAACCATGAGGTATCGGTATCTCCAGATAGACAACTCAAAGCAAATAGCACGTACTTATTGCTTACATTCCCCTATACAATCATGTCACCTCGCCTACTAGATGCAGAACGGCAAACAAACCATCCATATTGGACCTTTTGCCCACAAATAAAGAGCTCAGCGTCGGCAAATTATTGATGAAGAGTTCATTAAGTCTCAGCAACCATAACATTTAATTAAGTTTGATAGGCCGAGTACCCATTTGGAAGTAATTCATATAACCAAGTACTACCATGTTTTGAAAGAATTCGGCGAGGCATCTACGCGTGAGTTGTCGAACAACAGTCTCATTGAGAGCGTTTGTACAAAGCTCGTTGAAAGACTAAGGGAACTGGGTAACAGAGCATTGGGAACAAAACCACTTCTTTCCGCAAACGTGCCGTCAATTCTAAGAAGCAGTACTCGAAAATTCAAGGCAAGTAGGGATGCAACGGGGCATGCCTACAGGGTTAACCCCGGCTCGGAGACTTGGGGTAACTTCTTGACGTACCACAATTGTCCGTGAGGACAAAGTAACTTATCAAGAGTGCCGAGGTGAAAGGTTTCTGGCCAACAACAAACTACTGCACAGGCATATTAAAAGTTTTTGTAACGTAAAACATAGCATCCCACTATTTATTCCAGACGGTAGCATCGACGAAGCAGCCAAGGTCCTGCGGCTGAAATACGCTTCTCTTTTTGAACTCACAGACTGTCATATACCGTCATCCAGTTTACCGACTCGAGGGTTTACACATGTAATTGTCAACTCAGCAACTGTGTTAAGAAAGTTACTCTTATTGCGCGATCATAGCTCTCTGAAAGCCAACAACATTCGACCGAAGGCATTGAAGGCTGCTTCCAGTAAGCCAGTCAAGTCCCCGTCACAGTTCTTTCAAAGATACTTCGGTGAACGACAAGTCCCCACTACGTGGGAGACTAGCATCAGCACTCCAAATTTTAAAGACGATAGCCGTTCAGATCCTGCAAAATACCGCGCAAAAACTCTCCTCGTTGCGCTCTCGAAAATGATAGAAGCGATCGTCGCTGGTGCTTCAGTGGACCAGCTGGGAAAATGCAACATTTCGGCACCGGAGCAACATGCCTTCCGTCAACACTGGTCACGCATCACCAACCTACTGATGGCACGAGGTAGCTAGACGGAAGTAGCTGATGGTGTGTTCAGAATCGACGTCATCTATCTGGAGTTATCCAAAGCCTTCGACCGCGCAGATCACGGCATCCTACTGCACAGACTACAGAATTAGGGAATCGTAGATCTTGTGCTTGGTTGAATTGCGAACTTTCTTCAACAACAGAGGCTCCAAGTGTATGTTAGGGGATCACTCTCCAACTCGATTGTGGTGGAATGCGGTGTTCCACATGGCTCAGTACTGGGACCGCGTTTATTCTTGGTGTTTATCAACGAACTGCAATAGATATTTCTTCTAATTTCCTGTCGATAATGTTTTGGCGCGGAATGAAAACAAGGAAGGGCACGATTTCCTTAAACATGACCTGGATTGCATTCATGAATCGTCAACAGAGAACCAACTCCAATTCAACATAGCTAAGTGCAAAGTGAATGGTCTGCGTCAACAGCCGATCAGCGTTTACAAGTTTGGAGAGCACACCTTGCAGTAGGTCTCCCAGGAGCGTGACCTTGATGTACTAGTACAGGATGATCACGGATGCTCAAAACAAGCAGAGTGAGTCAAGAAACGGTAAACAACCCTTCGGCCTTCTACGCAGCACGTTCTATTGGTTTGACTCCTCAATCTTCACACAACTTTTTAAGGCGTATATGTTAGCGCATGTGGAATAGGTCATTCGGGAGTAGCCCCGCGGCAGAGGCAATATCTCGCTGTTCTCGAGAGTCCTCAAAGAAGAGCAACCAAGAACGTTAAGAGGCTCTTCCATTTACCCTATCAGGTTAGACAGAAATCCCCAGGAATATACAGCAGTCGACATCGGTGCTAGCGAGAAGACCACATAATGGTTTACCAGATCCTGAAGAACTCAAATCACAGTTGCCGCCCGATGCTGGAACTGAGCCACAACGCTAACCTAAGAGATCGTCCTCTGAAACTGCAATAAAGCATAGCCGTGTGCTGCTCTCCTAAAGCATATTGTCTCCGCTACAAATCTAACGATATTCAAAAAGTGACTTGACGGAGCACTGTTCCATTCGCGTTTCATTTTATAAGTTATGATAGCCAGGAAGCAGAATAATGCAATCAAGCAGTGAGTTTCCAAAATTTCAATCAGTGGGCTCATACTCTTATCATGTGAACATCTCGGCTCTTTAACGCATGTCTCAATATGAACACCGGTGAGTCCAGCAAGACACCTTCATATTATCATTAATTTTTATTTACTCAGTAATTTCCATCTCACGGAATTTATTATGCATTGCATGTTTACCCGTAGTACACCATAGTTCTAAAAAAGAAGTCTGAACAACAATGAGATAGAACCAGCCGTGTGCTCGTGGGTTCGAAAACATCACACAAAGCAATGCATCGTTTTGCAACGATGATCGTTTAGTGAGCGCGTCACTAACTGCTTTATTCTTATTGAAAAAAAAAATGAAATGTGTCAGCTTATACGCCGTAACGGCGCTTCGCTGCCGCGCGACCACCACCAGTCGCGCGCGGGCTGACTATACCGCGAGGACGCCCACCCCTACGCGGATTCGAACCGGTGACCTTATGGTTGGAAAGCAAACGTGCCAACCACTCGGCCACCGGCCGACTTTGGGATATGGCCGAACAGTTACGGTGAAAAGTGCTGCGAAGAGAGTGCAAGAAGCACTCGGGAACAATCCTTTCATCAGGCTGTGTATTTTGTCCGCGACATGACTTAATGGATTGCCTGCGCCGAACTCTGTGTGTCCGAGCAAACAAGCTCTTTGTCGTACTGCACGACACAAATGATTGAGAAGATACGGTTACATTCAATGAATAACAAGTAATTTCTGACACAAAATCGGGAATAGGCGGGGCAATATCGAGGAACAAACGGAAGATTCCGAAACAAAGTTACAAAATTTACCCAATGCGTGAATACAGCGGTAAGGAAGGAAAACAAATCCAACTGTTTTCCAGTAGGAAGTGCCACCACGTGTACCACTGCGTGTCCATACTGTTTGCAACGGTTGAATAAGAAACGACACTGGGACTAAAAAAACAATAACTGGATTGTTTTTGGATCGGCTTATTCCCGTTTCATAGTACTGAAAATCGCGACCGTAAAAGTGGGGTGTTAATGATAGTTGTGTGCATTGAAAAAAGTGAAGGAACGAATTTGTGTGCGGGTAGCATAGACTAAGCGCAATCAAGTCTCTTAGAACCAGAAGACAACCTGATTACCTAGATTTCTGTCGTGTGTGAGCATTTGAGTCACGCTTGAAGAACAAGTTGGCACAGATGAAATGACCACTAACCTCGCTACACCTCAAAACACTACGCCGATGTTCAAGGAACCTGAACAAGTCGGCAGGGGGAGAAGGGAATTTGTTTATAGTCCACTGCTGAACATTAAATAATGAAAACCGCTGGCACGGAGAATTTACAGGTATGCCTTGATATCATTCATTGGCGGTATGTTGTGCAAAGCGTGCACGTACAACGTTAACAATGAACAGGTCGCACGGCTAGTGTCCAATGTTTATACCCTGTTTGTGTATGTGTGTGTGTGTGCAGATGCATCAGAAGTGGTGAGCAAACGGGTGATACAGCACAGGACGTATCGGCGAGACAAGGTGGTTCCGAATGAACCGTACGCGCGACTGGTTAGCTGGGTCATCCTGGCAAGAAGTGTCCATCAGATGGAGTAGCAGCTGGGGAACAGAAAAAAGCAAACGATGAACAATTTGCTCACCTTAGCGTCATCGTGAAGACGTTGCAACCGTAACAAAGTAACGATATCTCCATTTTGCATATCCACGGCGATGTCTAAAGGAATACGTCCCTTGTGATCTCGTCGTCTCTGATCGGCACGGCGTCGGAGGAGTAAGCAGGCTAGGTGGACGCGCTGCAATTGACAGGCGTGATGAAGTGCAGTGCGACCGAGTTCATCCTGTGCGTCGATCTACAAGACATAACAAGTTGTGAATAATTGGTGTTGGGTCAGTGTCAAGTCGATTCGGTTGATCAAGAGGCTAAAAACTAGTAGTTCAGCAACACTTTGCACAGTGTAATCCATTAAAAACACACAAGCCGGGTGTAATGTGAACTTTTCGCACTCTGGTTACTTCACGGAGAACTTCAAAGTAAGCGGCAACACCAAGTGACGGTAGCTGGTAAAACGTTTGATAGAACATGTGTCAGCCACACTTCAATTAAGACGGAGTATAACCCCAGAATCTAAACCAATGAGTTATGCATATAGTTACTTTAAAACTGCGCGTCTGTTTTTATTTCAGTAATTCAATACCACTAGTTGCGTTGAAAACATAAGCATCATCTTATCAACGACACAGCAGCGGTTATCTGTTTTAATGACCAAGGAAAGAAGAATCTCAAGGAGAAGGCGCCCGCGCCTTGACTACAACGCACTGTCACAAACAGATGGCTATCGCGGTTTGCATTGCCCCAAAATTCTGACCACACTACGGCATAGAGAACTCAGCACCAGGTTTATTCTCGACTATGCGAGGCACGCCTTAAAAGGCACGATCGTAGAGATGCACCAGTGTACATAACGCGGATCATAGGCTGAACAGAAGAAATCAAATGAGAGTCAGTTATTGACAGTTGAAAATGCACAGAAGGTGGTTAATAGCGAGAAGATTTTGGCGTATGTTCCAATGTTTGAAAAAAGATCAACAAATCTGTTGCAAGGCGATATTGCAAATTCCAAAGTAACAGTCGCGTCCCAGCAGTAGTAAAAAATAGGTTTGGAAAGGAATTCACAGCCAAACGAGAGTCCACTCGCAGACTGCGGGTTTTGTCCAAGTGTGTGTTACTGATATGCTTCTATTCGCAGTCTTCAAGTCCCCCCGAATTTCAAGGTTTTTTCTTGGATTGTTGACATGCTCCAGGAGATGAGGAACGATACTTAATTATTCGAAATTGTCCTTCCGAAATTCATCGGAGATGGTTGATAAGATTGTTTTAAGCAGAGAAGGTTAGACTTTTCTGTTTGCTTCCCAATGTTGAGGTGGATATTGTATACATTTTATGGTAGCATCAGGAAATTGGAATTCGGTCTGGATTGTGGAAATGCGTGTGATCCCGAGAATGCCAATAGTGAATAAACTACCGGAAGGATTATCCTGCTGGCGAAGTGGCACTGATATACGCCAGGGTAACACAGGACTTGGAAGAAACCACAGCGAACTCCGATCGATGATGAGAGAAATGAATGAATGGCAATCCGGGGAAAGCAAATGAGAAAGATTTCGTTTGGACATAGTGATCACTGGCAAGGCGAGTATAGCTGAAATCATGTCAACGTCAAGTAGTTTATGCTTATAATAATGTTCTTCCGAAGATAGGTAAGATCGAACCCAATTGTTCAGACGACATGGGAGATGAATCCAAAATAGCAGTATTGCCGATAGATATCAAGTGAATGTTCCGTGCGCATTTGGAAAGTTAAAGTTCATCCACGAAGGATGTCCATTAAATCACACCGGTGTTTGAGGAAGATCATATGAGTTTTATCCATGTTTCTATGCAGATCTCAGGAAAAAGGTGAAGACAAAAATCAGACAAACGAAAGAACATGCATGTGCAAGTGAAGAAGGCTCGTGATGATCTGTTTGCTATACACATATAGTGTTGTGGAAGTGTTTTTTACTGGAGCGCGTTCGATGCGGAGAATAGGTCGTACGGACTGTCATAGACGAAGCTAAAGGACGTGGACTGCGTAACCTAGACGTAGCAGGACAGAAGTACGATAGACATATATAGGGATAGAGATCATGGAGGCGAATTATATGCTGGTTACTGGCTGACATAGCACGGGTGTGACGAGGAATCTACTGCGATGCACAGTTCGCGAGAGCTATAATCTAACTAGACGAGATGTTCGGTCGAAGAAGATGTGAGAGATGAAGAGAGGGACGCAAGTGAAGGTGGATGAGATGGTTCACCATTGTAATTTGCGTACTCTATCAGGGTTTTGGCAGATGTGTCACGATTTGCAGTCAAGCCCAAGACAACCAAATGACAGAGCCACTACCATCAATCCGCTGTTATCGGATCTGAACTGTATATGATAGCGACGGGTTACAATGCTATACCTGTTGCCAAGGTATAACGTTAGAAATTCTCTGGATCACGTTCCCATACCTCATTTTCGGACAGTTCTAGGCCAAGAAATGCTGTCATAGTGATTGTAGTGAGAAATCTACGTAAAGTAGTGCGGAATGTTGCAGGCATTGATATCAATCTGATCTCCATTGGTAGCCTATTCCAAAGGAATTTGGCCGGGAGATGACAGCAGAAACGAAGGCGGTGCTAGCTGCGTATCACATCTTGTAATGTCTCGATAGACCAACATATGGATCGAATGAAATTCAGTCTGGAAGATGAGCAACACCTTTGAGTAATGTCCGTAGGGTTCAAGTACAAGGTGGTCACTGAACTGATTTTAGCAGCCGGCTACTGAGTCAAATGAGCACAAGAGTAAACAAACAAAACAGCTGTCGCATCAAAGCATGAAGCAAGCTTCACATTTGATGCACTTTAACAACCGTTGCAGGCCAAGTGAAGAAACAGGAAACTTAGAAAGGGAGATACAATAAGGACGAAAAGGATATCTGCCACTCCGAGATGGACGGACGGCAGATGTTTGTGACGCTAAATGACAGCCTTTGTATTTGTTCTGAAGAGGCTGCACTCGTCTCTTCCCCTCCATCGCAAGATTAATGATAGAAATACGGTTCGCCAGTTTAGTAGTCTATCACCCGAGGAGAGACTCCTAGATTTTCCTAACGGGCTTATCCCCCAGCCCATGGGGTTTGCTGTACGAAGATCGGTGCAAGAAACTTGATCGGTAAACCCTGTCCCCTTGTCAAGTGCGAGTCGACCACATTATGATGCAGCGTAGTTTACAGCTCTGCGACTTCTTCAGGCTGAGGCCACTGATGTGCCTGGTAATATCTTGCAACACACACTGTAACGGATTTAAGCTTGCGATGCCAGATCTGTAACGAGTTGTCCACATCCTGTGCTTCGAGCAGTAAATGTTTGGAACGGTGTAGCATACCACACAGTGTCGTCAAACTCAGTGCAGTGGTATCGAGCATAGCTGGATTTACATTCCTCCACAGCTAGATTCAGAGAACTATTACCCACTGACAATGATATCTCATATGTGAGTCCCGAGTTACTGTGAGCTATACACGTTCTACAATACCAAGTTCGAACTCGAAAACCAGTAGAGCATTGACATGGTACAGGCATTTTTAACGTTTCTGATCATAGTTCGGTAGTGTTGTGTGTATTCAAATTTGAGCTGGTTTGTCTTTTAGTTCCAGCTGGACTCGGCATCGTTTCGTTCCAGCAAATGGTTCGGCCGCACTGTTTCAGAATGAAGTTTATTTTCGCCTGGTAAGTGCCACATGTCTGTGTAAAAACATTGTGACGTGTTGGATATAACTCCACCAAAATAGTGATTGTCCCTTTCTTTACACTGCTGAAGTGTTGTGTCCCAGGAGCCTGGTGTCGGAATTGTAGGGAGAATTGAGCGCCTGGTTGGTGACTCAACAAACGAAAGGCGCATGAACTGAATAATCAGTCACCGGCTCTCCATAGTGTGATTCCACGACTATCCTCCGTTGCTTTGCAAGTATGCTATTTAACCAAAGGCTCTGAGTGGTTTCCTATGGGCCAACTCTTTACTTCGGCTCGGGTAACCGGCTAGTATCACGCATCTCGACAAAATCATGCGTTGTGTTTGGGTTTCATTTGACGACAAGTGTACCTTCCATCGTTTCAATGGTTCAGTGTCTATCTATATGAGGTTGAAAATCAGTACTCAGTAGCAGTGACAAGAATGTGACAAAAGCTATATGGTTCAAGTGTAGCGGTAAGTGGGGTGTAAGTTATATCCAGGCAAGTAATCAATCATAAACTGGCGAATGTGCTGAATGATCAAACAACCGAGCAAACTGTCGAGACAGAATGCAGTGCAGACGGTAACGGATGCCACACCAACGGTTACGCAAGCGTGTCAGCACAAATACGGCAGCACTGTGCACCCTACAGTGTAGTGATAGATGCTAAATCGGTTGATGCGCTTCGGATAGAGGGAGAGACGAATGCAGGTGCATCGATGCGACGGATAGCAAATTTGATAGGTGGAAAACGTTGCAGAGATAAACAGAACACGAAATTGGTCCTTGAACACCCAGCGAGTGCGTAGGTTGGCCCTGTTCGATAGGGAGGCGTGAAAAAAGCACATGAGATTTGATCCACTGCAGCCAGTAGGTGGTATCGAGTGATTTATATATGAGAGAGTAGACGACACCAGAGTAATCGGAATGCACACAGCGATACTAGCCGGTCTTCATCATCATCAACAACAAGTACATCAGCGATTTGAACTGCTGCTTCGCTGCCACACAACCATGATGAGCTGTGGAAGAAAGAATAATAAAAGGGAGAGAAGGGGGACTTATTGGAAAATCATAATGCCCTAGAGCAATCATTCAGGGTCAAGGCGCCTACACCTTCTGTTACTAACATACCGTCACAAACAGCTGGCTATCGTGCAGCAAAGTGGTACCAGCGATACAGCTTCCTTGCGGCTTTCACTTCCCCGCGGCATAATCAGCCATTGCCCCGCAGATAAACCAGCACCAAACACAATTTAAACAGACAATCCGACTAGGAGACGGCAGCAGACGCGCCACTGGTGTCGACTGCGAGCCATGCCCTGTAAAGTTTCGAGCCAAGCACAAGGCGGGTCACGTGGACTCCAGTCCGGAAGGCGACACGGACCAACGGCACCCAGTTTGGTCGTCAGTGACTTTATTTCCCGCTTACAAGTCAACTTCTGTTCACCTCGAGCCTTGCGCCACCCTACAACTGGCAGACGAAACAAAACCCTCCTAGGTAAGCGGTGACCAGGTATACGTA